ACTTTTTTAATTGGTAATTTCAGCACTTGTAGGGTAAATTTTTACTCCTGCTTCTGTTAAATAGGCTGGGGCTCGCTTGAAAGTGGGGCCAGCATCAGATAAGCATTGGCTATTTGGCCTTCCTGCTTTGGCATGTTTGAATCTCCAAGGGCATTAGAGTATGCATATGTGGTTAAGGTCACGGATGTGTATTATAACCTGTCTCTATTTTTCTTTGAAATTTTGAATTTCTTTGGTGTTAGGAAGTTACAATGTCAGATTTGTAAAGTATTCGTGTACCCTGGATTACACATGGTTCTTATAATGGTGCTGCCACTTGTAACACGTCCAGATGTTTTCATCAAGGGACTAGGGCATTTAGAGCGTTGTTAAGTGGTTGTTTGTTGGTTGGGGTTAAATTGCAAACAGTTAGGCTTTGAGACTTATTTCTTTTACATTGGAGCCTTTTTAGTAAATATCTGTTGACTATTTATAGAAGATTATGAATAGAGCTGATGAAAAGACTTGTTTTTAGGCAAACCACTAGTATAAATACTGGTAGATACCATATACTAACATAACTGTGTCATAAGATTTTTAGAATTAATTGATTTACATGTGCAAATTTTTAAATTCTGTTTCCTTAATAGGACAAATCGTGACACATTTCAATAACACTTTTATAAACATTGATTTTTTTTTGGTTATAATATATTTTGTCAGGAATAAAATAGGCTGATGAAATATAAAATCAAAATTTGTTACCAAAGGAAGGTAAAAATATGTAATAGCTTGACTATCTTCTAATAGAGCCTTTAAAGAATGCTCTTAAATAGCCATGACAGAGGTAGCAATTCAGTTTATAAGGCTGCCTGTCTCCTTGTCGGGCTGAAAGAGAAGGTAAAAATTACTGAGGAGAGATTTCATGGCTAATGGCAGGCATAGTGATTTCACGTGCTCCCCAGTGTATTCCATCTGTCCTTACATTTTACTGTGTGCATTTCACTGTTTTCCTTATTTGATTCTGCAGATAAATGTATTCTACTTATTTTGGCATGTATCTCCACTTGATGTCTGAATTGGTGAATGTGACAGTGTGTGTATCAGGATTCATTGCATATGTAGGCAGGTAGGTAGTGGTCTTTTGAGATAGCATTTTCAGGACTACATTATCTAAAAGGGACTGCTCAATGTACTACTTGGAGTAAAAAGTTTTGGTTTAGACCTGTCTAATTTTCAATTATGAAGGAATTTAACTTTATTAACTTCTTGTGAGATTTTGTTTGTGTTGCTGGAAATTGTGTTGAGTGTGAAATTATCTTGGGGATGGACTTGAGTTGATTTCTTTTACAGTTTTATTCCTGCTATGATCACTCTTGTCTTGGAGGAGTTTTTTAGTATAAGAAATAGCATCAAGACTTTGGTATTAAATATTTTATATAATTTTAATAATCTTTTGCAAGATTTCAATGTATCTCAATAGTAAATTAGGCTATCTAAGAGATGAAACTTTATGAAAAAGTCAAAAGATTTTTACCCCGATTAGTACCTTAAATCTTATTGGAGCTTAATCTGCTTCTGAATTTATTCTGACAATTTCTTTTCCTGTAGTGTTTCTTACCAGATTAAAAATACCTTTTCATAAAGGAAGGAGGTGTTAAATCTCAGGGGGAATATTTAGTTTTAACATTATTAATCCCACTCTTCTTAATATATTTAAGCACCATCTAGCTGAGGTATTTTGCTTGTTTCAGTACAAAGCAATGGAAAAGCCAGTTTCTGTATACTAAGAATTACCTTTGAATGAAACTTGGGTTATATATTTAATATTAATCATTTCAGTTATAAATTAGGTCTATCTTTATGATATAGTTCATCTTTAATTAATAAGACACCTCAAATAATAAAACTTTTGGGATCACATTACATAAGTTATCTACGTTAGTTACTTTGAAAAATAAATAATGGATAAAGTAATTTTAAAATCAAGTAAAAAACCTGTATTTATATAAATTTTAATGGAACTTAAATACAGTATGCATTTTTCATTAGAAACAGAATTTAGTCATGTTCATATGAAGTTATTAAATACTCTTGGGTATTTCTTGGCCAAGACTGTTGTGGTTTTCTTTAATAATATGGACTAGAAAGCTCTGGAGACATTAATAAATACACTAAGCCCTTAAAGGTATTATACTGTTTCCTTCATTTTTCCTAAGGTCTGGCCATTTATAAGTATGACACTTAAAATACATATTATTTCCTAACTTAATTGAAGCTTATTAAGAATTGGAAGATGGTAATTATTTTTAAGAAATAACCCTATAGGTTATTAGTATCATTTTCCTTAAAGGAGACAGAAATAAAAACCCTTAACCATTTCTGAAGTAGAATTGCTACTTATAAAACATATGTTACAATGTCTATTGAAAAGTTTAGCAATTTTACTTTATGACATAAAAATCAGAACACTTTTTTGTCTACCAAGTAAAATATTCCTGTGAACATCATTTCTAGGTATTGCTATACTTTTCAAGAGAATGTTCTATGTTGTGTATACTAGTTTTGGCTGACACAGATACTTGCTTTTGATTTATCCTATGTATTTAGATCCTCTACAGATGAACTGATGTGTCTAGACAGGAAGTGGTATGTAGGAGATATAGGAATGGGCTGAAGTATCCTTTATATTTGCCTTTGTATCTAGGGGAGTTGGAAATAGGCAAGAATGGAGAGAAATTTTGTATGGCAGTACACAGAATTTTGCAAGTTTATTGTGAGCCCTGCAGCAATCCGATGCATTTTAGTTACTGGTAAGTTTGTTAAATTATGTTTGAAAATGTACCTCTTCGAAGATGGCCATCTATTTACTATTACGTCCACCATGTCAAATATACCAATTTAAAAGATTTTTTGAAAAGATGTGGTATTGCTATTGCATTGGGTTTTAGGTGTAAATTAAAAATACCTTTTTTAGTGAATGCATTTGACTTTTCAATTGTCATAGTTAAAATTGAAGTGAAATTTATATATGGATAGCATAGTCACATATTAAGATTATGGAATAATAAAATTAATATTTCTGATTTTGTAATGGAACTCTACCGTGTTTACAAGTCTGAGTTAATTCATTAGATGTTTGTGAGAAAGAGCTGTCTTTCTGACATAAAAGAATATGAAAATCCATGGCATCCTAATAATTTTATATGGTTCTACAAAGTAGGGTGATTTTATTGTAAGAAATGCTTTTCGCATTTTTTCATGGATCACAGAGACCATAGTGATGCATTTCCAGTCTTTCTTTTTGGCAGTGGTGATGTTTAGGAATCCTAGTCATCTTTCTCTCTAAATCAATAACTCAAGTGTAGGTAAGAATTTCATGAACAGATTAGGAAATTGTGTAATCTCTATGCAGTAAGTTTCTTCATTCTTTTCAAACATTTAAGCAGAAGTATCATGTATAATAGTATTTAAGCAATTATTTGTGACGTGTCTTTGACTGTTGATAACAATTCATTTAAAATGGGCTAGATTGCTTTTAGTAGTTTTTCTTTATGGAAACATTTAAAATTCCCAAGGAATTTCTTGGTAGTTGTGTTTTTCTTGTAAATGTCTATCTTTGACTTTAGGACAAAGTAAAAGAATATCATTGATTTGTAATACTGGTTTACTTGTTCTGTGGTTTAAAGATACAGGGCTAGATAATGTAATTAAATTTTAATTTCCTGTAATGAAGTACCTTGTTTCCAGATATAATATATTTTTTCTAGCTGAAATGTAATCCATTAAACTACTGCTTTTTATAATAATGATAATGATGTCAATTTTGCTGTTAATTATTTTTATGAGACTATTTCTAATTTGAACAAGAATAGGCACATTATCAGAGAACTGTGTTGAATTTTCTACTGAAATCAGAAGAGCTAGAATGACTTCAAAGGATAGACTAACTTTAGATTCCTTTTGGGCCTTAATAATTTTTGAGTTTTCCTCATTGCCACATTATCTTAATTTCTTTTAGGAATGAGTACTTGTGCCTTTGAAATAAATTTAGAAGTGTGTGGTTTTACCCATTCTTGTGAATATAAAAAGACAATTTAGGATACCTTATAAAGCATTATAAATAGATAATATTTTAATTGCTGATAAAGTCTGTCTTATAGTAATTTTTTGTTATAAACTAAAGTAAGCATATAATTAGGAATGCTATCTTGTATCAATGCAGGAATGCTATCTTGTCTCAATGCTGTTGGTTGCAAATTGTTCTATGTAACTGTGGGAAGTAATGCATTATTAAGGTTTATTAGTTCAGTGAAGTCATTTAATTTTTCTATTGTTTCTTCCCTCACTCGACAGACACATTAAGTGCTTTATGCTTGTCTGGTACATATCTTTGTGTGCCTTAGGTGTTGTGTATACTGTCACTTTTCATTTTAATATTACATAAATCATTTTCTCTGTTCTCATGAACTATTCCTGAGGTCATATATGGACATAAGTAATGTTGCATATTTCCCTGGATGTTTCTTAGAAAGTAGGTCTAAATGAAATGTTTTTTTTTAATATAGTCATGTTCTTCCAAAGCAAGCTTGTGTACATATTAAAAATTCTCTAAGATGGCATGTTCTTCAAAAGAATATTATGATCAAGTCTTTATTATGGACAAGTGACATATTTGTGGGTGTGTTTCCTTTGTTAGATTTACTTGAAACAGGGACTATATGTGTGTGTGTGTGTGTATACGTAAACTTTGATATTTTGCTTTGGATTGTAAAAAAAACTACACAGTTATGTGTCAATTTATGATATTTAATTTTAAAGCGATAAAACTAATTTTCTCATGCTTGTGAGAAAATATATTGTTGCATAATACAAGGTATGATTGTCATTGTTAGCAAAATAGAGATTAGATTTGCATATGATTGTTACCTTTTGGCGTAATAAAATACTGAAATGGAAAATTATGTTTATAATCAACATTTGATGATTACATAATGAAATTATCTGTACTTTACATGCAGTGCTACTCTTTTGGCATTCCTGGTTGAACTACTTAAAAGTTCAGTAGCCATGCAAGAACAGATGCTGGGTGGAAAAGGCTTTTTAGTCATTGGCTACTTACTTGAAAAGGTAAGTGATTTGTAATGATGGTTTTACTGTATAGCCTTCAAAGGTGGACAGCTGGCAATCAGTAATTGTATTTTTTCTATAGTTTCCTTTTCTAATGACTGTGCAGAGGCTGGCCATCTTTTGGGCTAATTCACATTTTTATATTATGCATTTAGACATAGTGGTGTAGACATTGAAATAAGTTGGGTTTTAGAACACTAAATATATATAATTAAGAAATTTTGAATGAAAATAGAAACTAAAGGAAAGTTTCAAGTTGTTTTAAATATTTTTAAAATTTCTTTGCTATTTTTATTCAAACTAAGTTTCTAAGAGATTTTTATCAACTTTGCTTTAAATTGATTTACTTTTTTGTTTTAGCTTTAGTTTTCAATGATAAGGTAACAAATCTTTATTTTTTAACAACAGAAGTAGTATTTTGTGCTTTGTTCCTGCTTTTAATGTATTTGAATATTTAAAGTATCTTTTCTCTAGTCAATATATAGTACAAACAATACAAATTAGATGGGTTTAATTTTTCCCCTTTTGTGTCATTTATGTGCTGGTTTTATGACCATTGCTTTAGTCACACCTATGCTATTATGTAATGATTGCTGAATTTCTGATTATGGTCTTACAGGAGTTTGATTGTATCATGTGATTTCCTTTAAAAATTAAAATGGGATTTTATGAATAAAAGTATGTTTTTTTTTTCCCTAAAGAAATATCTATTACCCAATAGGTCTCTCAAACCTCTTCTTATTAGTTAACTCTAACATTTAGCTGCACTGAAAATGGAACTTTTGGGAAATAAGGTGAGGAGGCCTCATCTAAGAGGAATAAACTTAGTTTTCTCTTTGGAAATAAAATGGAGAAGACTTGGAGATAGTATTTGCACCTCAAATTATTCTACTTTTGAAATCTTTGTAACCTGTCTTTTGTTTGAAACAGGATTCTTCTTCCTTGAAGTTCTGGTGTTCGAGGAGTGGTAGATTATTAAGTAGATTGATCATTGACAGAATTTCTTTATTGAAATAATTATTTATGTAACTTTATTAAGATTTTCATTAAGGCTGTTTTAATTATTTTTTAACCATGGAAAACTATTTTCCTATATTCAGAGTATCAATATTAAGAATTACTTAGAAGATTTATGTTAATTACATTTTATGTGCAAGCGATGTTATGAAATGCCTTTGTAACATTACTGTGCATGACAAGATACCTATCAGAAACTACCCCTTAAATATACTTTTCATATTTACTGAGGGTTTATCAGCATAACTCTAAAGTGAGCCTTTTTGTTTTTACAATTAAAACTTAGCTTAAAGTTAGAAATATTGTGAAAAAACTTTAAATCAAATAAATAGACATAGTTCTTCCCCTTTCTTGGAATTAATAACCTTAAAAATATATTGTCAACTTAGTGACTACAAATATTATCTCAATGTGGTTTTAATTAGAATTTTTTAATATTTTGAATAAGATTGGACATATTTTTATATATATTTATTGGACATCCGTTTTTTCTGTCCATGAGGTACTCATGTCTTTTGCCAATTTTCCCTACTCCCTTTAAGACCCCCTATTCCTATGTAACATATAATCTACTTTTTGTCTGTATGATTTTGCCTATTCTAGGTATTTCTTATAAGTGGAATCATATATTTGTTCTTTTGTATCTGGTTTTTTTCACTAAGGATGTTGTTTATAAGATTCATCTATGTTGTAGCATATATCAGAATTTTATTTCTTTTTATGGCTGAATAATATCCCATTGTGTGTGTGTGTGTGTGTGTGTATGTATGTATATAAAACACTTTGTTTATCCATTCACCTATCAATGGACATGTGTGTTGTTTCTATCTTTTGGCTGTTATGAATAATGATGCTATAAATGTGCATTTATAAGCTTGTGTGTAGTAATATGTTTTTATTTTTCTTGGGTAGCTACCTATGAATTGATTTGCTGGGTCCTATCATAACTTTAACTATTTGAGAAACTGCCAGACTGTTTTCCAAAGCTCCACCACTTTACATTCCTGTTAGCACTGTATGAGGTTTCCAATTTTTTCACATCCTTGTCAATACTTGTTAGTGTTCATCTTTTTTATTCTAGCCTTCCTAGTGGGTTTGAAATACATCATTTATTTGCATTTCTGTGATGTCTCAGGATATTGAGCACCTTTTCATGAGTTTATTGTCTGTGTGTTTGTGTGAGAAATGTCTATACAGTGATTTATTTTAAAAAAACTGGGTATTTGTATTTATTTACTTATTTATTTATCTATCTTTCGTGGTGTTCGTTTTTTTATTTGTGAGCTGTGGAAGATTTTTATTCTATATACTAATTCCTTATTAGATATATGATTTACAAAGATAGTCTTCCATTGCGTAGATCACATTGTGTTTCAATTTGCATTCCCTGATGACAAATTAAGTTGAGCATTTTCATATATTTATTGTCTTTTTGGTTATCCTCTTTTGTTAAATATCTGTTCAAAGTGTTTACCTTTACCCTTTTTCATTTGGATTGTCTGTCATTTTCTTATTGCTTTGTGGAAATTCTGTATATATCTTGGGTTTGAATCCTTTGTTGAGTATGTATGGAAAATGTCTCATCCTCTGTGGCTGCCTTTTCACTGTCTTAGTGATATTTTTAAAGAAAAAAAAGTCCTTAATTTAATTTAATTTTTTTTATTATTATTATTTTTTTAGCTGAGCCATCCTGCCACCTGTTGGCAGTTTACGGCAGCTCAGCTCAGGCTGGAAATCGAACCGGCAAACTTCTCTTTGGAAGTTTCCTGTGTGGAAAACTTTCTGATTTTTTGCCAGATTTTTTCCTATATTTGATGTTTTTAAATTTTTATTTTTTATTTGTCATTGCTACATAGAACTATAATTGGTGTTTATATCAACCTTTTATATACCAATCTTGCTATTCAAAATCTAGTACTTTGTAGATTTTTCAAAAATATTTTCTTTGTAGAAAACCATGTATCTTAGAATGACAATATTTTTCTTTCTAATTATTCTTTTTAATTTTTTTCCCTTGCCTTACTGTACTACCTAAGACTTTTAGTATGTTGTCGAATGGAAGTTGTAATAGTCGGTATCTCTATCTTATTCCAGATTTCATGGACAAAACTTTCAATAATTAGCCACTAAATGTGATATATGCTGTAGATTGCTTTCTGTAGATTTTAAAATCAAATTAAGAAACTGTCTATTTCAAGTTTGATGAGTTTTCTCTGTCATAAATAGATATTGGGTATTATGAAATCTTTTTCTGCATTATTTGAGATAGTTATCTTTCTACATTTTTTCTTAGTTTAGTTAATGTCATTTATTGGTTTTCAAATGTGAAACCATTTTTATATTCCTGGAGTACTATGTAATCTTAGATTCATCCCTTTTCCAATCAGGCTTTCATCCCCATAATTTCCCTTAAAATGGCTGTGTCATCCGCAGCCTTTAGATTTTTCAGTCTGTGGTTCTCAGTCTTCATCTTATATGACTTTTTAACAACACTTCAGTTTAATATTCTTTCTTTCTTGAAATGCTTTCTTCATTTGTGTTTTGTGACAGCATTCTTTGTTTTCACCTTTTTGGCCTCCTTTTATTCTCTCTTAGTAGGTCCCCCTCCTCTTTTAAACCCTAAAGACCCTGGTGTCCTTCTGCTTAATCCTGGAAACCTTTTCACTTTTTTATTTACACCTTACTCTAATTGTGTTTATCATTCCTTTAGCTATCATTATTCTGTAAATAACCAATTGCTCTCAGATGTCTATCTCCAACCACAACCTGTCTTTTGAACTTGTCTCTCATATTCAGCTCCACTAGGATGTCTAATAAACTTCGTAAATCTGAATTATTCAAACTGTTACTTTTGATTTTCCTCTCCAACCTTTCATCCCTGTCTTCTCAATCTTTGTTAATAGCATTTCTATTCAACAAGTAGTTCAGACCAAAAATGTTAATCCTTTTTGACTCTACTTTTTCACACATTAAATCCATATTCTCAGCAAATCATGTTGCTTAGTAACAAAACAGATCCAGAATCAATGACTACTTCATACTTAACCCTCTGCTCTTTTCTCTGTCCATTGATATTATCTTCGTTCCAACCGTCATCATCTTTCACTTGTAGTCAGACTAGTGCTCCTAAAATACGCCACATCTTACTACGTTAGCCTTCTTGGAATAAAAAAATCTCATGTCTCACTTCTGACATAACGTCTTAACATCCTCCTTGCTTTCTCTGTTGCAGCCACACTGGCCATACAAAAGCCTCTTTGCCTTGTAAAAACTAAAGTGTGTCCATCTCAGGGCTTTTTGCATTTTTCCCCCCATTGCTTTTTCCCGTAGATAACCCACATGGCTTGCTTGATTCTACTTCATTTAGGATTTTGCTTATGACACCTTATCAGAGAAGTCTCCCCTGATCACTATAAATAGAATAGTATGCCTTCTATAACTATCACTGTCTCTATTCTGCTAATTTTTTACTGCACCATTCTGATTATATATATATATATATATATATATATATATATATATATATATAT